AGTTCTTCCAAGGTGTTTTGGTGATTTGTGATTCCATTTGAGGCTTCCACACTATTTGGGGCTAAGCTCTTAAAGCTTGAAGACATCAAGCTACATCAAAAGGTATGTCATCTAACTAGAACTTTGTAGTATAGGTGCTTCATAATATGCTAGTTAGGATGAAACCTTGGAATAGTTAATATTTGCATGTATAATAGAGAAAACATAGATCCAAGGTTTATAGAGTTGCATGTACACCATAGGAGTGTTAGAATGCTCAAAACACAACAGTACGACAGTGAACATCCTCACCGGAATCAACGGTTTGCAGTGATGGCTTCGGTGGTCGGAGAAGCAAGAAGGAGTAGGGTGGTGGCCGGTTGGGGATGAAGGAGTGGGTGGTGGCCGGTTGGGGTTAGGGTTTAGAACCGGGGGTGACGGGTTTATATACCCCGATCCACCAAACTTGTTTCCATAATAACAAGTTCAGCCCCTCCCTCCAGAAATTACTTTGAAATAATTCCCCATAGTTACCATTTAAACCCTGACCTCAAAAATCCCTTTCAAATTAAGTCCCATATTTTACTAAGTAGCCCATCCCTCTACAATTATTGTCAAATGAGGTCCATAATTTACTCTTTAGCCCCCGCTTTCATAAATCCTTTCATATTAGGTCTAGTACTTACCAAATATCCCATGTCTTCTAAAATCTTTACAAAATAAATCCCGAACTTATACTTTAACCCCCAAAATATCCAACTTAAGGCATTTGGCTTCCCAAAACCAAACACCTTGCTATATAATTATAAATTTTAGGGCTACGATTCATTCATTCATTTCGTCTATTTATTTATTAAATAAACGGGGTGTTACACCCTTCTTTTTATTCCTGTGAGAGAACTGTTCTGATGGGGAAGATAAGAGAAATTACTGTTATTGATAACATGTATGATCTATGTGAAAAGGAAGGATTCAAAGATTTAAACATAACTTATCTAGGATGTGATTGGATTTGGATTGAGTTCAAGAAACAAAGATTGTGTAACATGTTCAAACAGTCTGAAACTATGAATGTGTATTTTCTGTTATTACAAACATTCATAAGAATTTTCTTCTAGATTGTTGTGTTGTATGGATAGAGGTGTCTGGGCTATTTCTTTAAGCGTGGGCTCCTTCAGATTTTAATATGGTCGCTTCGAGATTTGGTGATGTGCTTTTTATAAATGACGATGAAGATGAGCCTGCAGGTTCTGGTAGAATTTGCATTCAGACTTCTAGTATGAAAAAGATCAACGACATTGTTTAAGTCGATATAGATGGAACAAAATTCCTTATTACTGTATCGGAGGTTGCCAATTGGACATCATTTGTTTCTCATGAGGATAAACAAAATGATTCAGGCAGTGAAGATGATTCATAGTCTTATCAATTGCTCAACTCTAGTAATCCCTAGTTTGCAGATGTAAACTGTAACGACGAGGACCTTCTCAAAAAAGATTGTGCTACTCTATAACACAATTTTTAATGATAAGATGAATGGGTTTGCTGAAGATATCTCGTTAGATGAAGTGAGTTCTATTAAAAAGCACGAATCTAAGTGAAAAGTAGGGAAAATAAAAGGAAGACAATAATTTTGTTCTTGAACAAGTTGTCAATTATAATAAAAATTCTGTAGAAAAACAGCAGGTAAATGAAAGTTCAACTCCTTCGCCCTCTAGACCTCCTGGTTTTAGTAATGCTATTTATAATGGATCGAAATCAGCTCCAAGTTTAGTAAACATGTGAATTTGTATTCGGTTCCAATACAATATGTAGTGGATTGATGAAGTGGTTTAACGTCTCCGGAGACATATTAATCATATGGGTGAAGAAGTTGTTCAATTTTCGACCCTCATGGAAGTTATTCAAAATGTCTCTTTGAATCATCAAACAGATAGGTGGTGTCGCGAAATTAGTGAAGATGCCTATTTTAAATTTGGAGATATAAGGAGGTGGATTGATGAAGTGGTTTTACCGTCGTCTTCAGATTTGGAAACTAGATGGAATCCTTTTGTCCCTAGTGTAACATCCCCATCTGGCACATATCACAATATTGCCCGCTTTGGGCTCCCGACGCGAAAACTTCCCAGGGGTCACCCATCCCTGGATTGCTCTCGCCCGGGCACGCTTAACTGCAGAGTTCTTATGGAATCTGCTGCCCTCACAACTTTAAAACGCGCTGTGACAAGAAAGGTATCCACACCCCTTATAAGGAAATGTTTTGTTCTCCTTCCAAGTCGATGTAGGATCAAGTACAACCCACTACCTGATCCTACATCGGCTTGGAAGGAGAACAAAAATTTCCTTATAAGGGGTGTGTGGATACCTTCCTTGTCACACTGCGTTTTAAAGCCGTGAGGCCAGCAGATCCCATAAGAACTCTGCAGTTAAGCGTGCCCGGGCGAGAGCAATCCAAGGATGGGTGACCCCCTGGGAAGTTTTCGCGCCGGGAGCCCAAAGCGGACAATATTGTGATACATGCCAGAGGGGGATGTTACACATAGAAAGGTAAACATTTTGATTTGGAGGGTCTTGAGCAATAGAATTCCAACTTGAATTAACTTAGAAATAGAAATATGGATGTTCCTTCGGTGTTGTGCCTGATTTGTGATTTTGACATAGAACAACCTGACCACCTGCTATAAGGTGTAAAGTGGCAGTAAAAACTTGAAACATAATATTTTCTTGGCTTCATTTTGATTGGGTGAGTCTAGATTTGGTTGTTGGATCGTTTTATACCATCGATAATAGCTCAATGCCGTCAAAGAAGAAAATGGTGGTTCATGCAATATTTTGTACTACGATTTGGTATGTTTGGAGGTTTAGGAATGGCGTGGTGTTCAAAGCGGGCAAACTTAGAAAAAGTGAAGCCGTTGATTATATTAAAGAGTTTTTTGTTTTTGTGGTTTGCAAATAGGAATCATAGATGTTCGTTTGTTTGGTTAAATTGACTTCAAAATCTTTTAGACTTTATGTAATTCTTATTATAGCTCCCTGCTAGTTTTTTGTTTTTAATATATGGTTGATTGTTTTAAAAAAACAAACGAAAGTTATTATATGTGACCCGAATAATACGTAAGAACACAAAAACATAAAAATGTACGTCGAATCATAGACAAACTCGAAGTTAAACCGATATGTGCATAAAAACAAGTAATTTTTTTTTAAACTAACGAAGGAAAAGTTTAAATTCACATCGAAACGTTAACCAACTTGAATTTAGAAAATGAATCGGTAGAAAATAATATTTTACAAAGTTCAGAGTGAAGGGTCAAAGTGACATTTTAAACAGTAAAGGGGTGGAAAAACCATAAACTAATAAATATAAAATATTGATAAAATTACATAAATGGTCCCTATAGTTTATCTATGGTCACAAACACATTTCATGCTACCTCAAATGACCAAATTACTCTCACACTAACGGACAAAAACTAACGATGTTAGCAAAAAGGACCATTCATGCAAGTTTTGGAAACCACAAGGATCATGTTCGTAAAAAAAAATTAGGAATGACTAAATTTGTGATCTTTGGTAAACTACATGGACCATCTATGTAATTTTATCTTAATTCAATATTGTTAAGACAAAATTGCAAAAATGGTCCTAATGGTTTATTATTTTATGTGGCTAAAGTCTAAATCTTAGAAAAATTATGGTCAATGGTTTCATTACGGAATTGGTGCATGTCGACATTAAAAAATCTATTTTACCCTTATGATATAATTTTATATTTTTTCAATATTATTAAAAATTCAATAAATTTATAATATAAAGTAAACCTCACACCCTCACACCCACCCCACTTTCCACATCCATTCTGATAAGTGATAAATCTTAATTCATATTTGAAGAAAAACCATAAACTATTCAAACCCATGACCGCGAGACTACCGTCGGACCACTATCACAAACTAATAGATCGCCGACGAAAACCTGTAGAACCCATTGGACCAACGTCGATCCAAGTTTGCTTATTCACTAGACCAATCTCTCTCTCTCTCTCTCTCTCTCTCTCTACGTCCACCCACGATAGAATGTTGTCGATGGCGGAGTTCACCTAGTGGTTAGGAAGCTTTTACGTCAGATCGAGAAAAGGACATGTGTAGAGAAGGAAGGTCCTTAGGCTTGATTTAATCGCCACCTCCCATGACCACGCCCACTCATTCATTATCTGTTTTTGGGTTAGTTAAAAATAACCAAAATATGTTTTTGGGATTTGGGGAAGAAAGGTGGATATCAACCAACCCTAAATCTGATGTGAGGAAAAAAACCACCCCTTTTTATTTCGATTTTGTAGGTAGATATCAGGGGAAAGACACGATGAAGAATGACCACTTGTGCTGGTTTTTGGTGGCAAAGATGAAGATGGTGGTGGCTTATGATGGTGGTTAAATATGAGTAAAAGGGTCATTCTTCCTCTTTGTTCGCCAGAGTAACAAAGGGTTTTTAGGGTTTTCTTCAAATGAGATGAGAGATATATTAGGTTTTTAAGGGGTGGTGTGAGTGGGATGGGGTGTTTGTGTTCTATTTTAAAATTAATTAATAATTAATAAATATTAAAGAAAATCTAAAAATTAAATTATAAAGTTACAAATGTCTTTTTAATTTTGAAAGTGATCAATTCCGTATTGAAACTATGGAATAAGGACCATATCCATAATTTTTCAAGGTTTGGACCAGAGGTACATACATACCGGTTTCAGAGAAACAGTTTTTCTCTAGACCATTTTCAGTTACAATTAATTTGATTTTTTCAATTTTTTGAAGTGAAATTTTATTAAAAAATCAAGTTTCTAGGTTTAAAAACCAATTCAATTCGTCTTTTAGAAAAAACCGAAAAAAAATATTTTTTAATTTCTTTTTAAAAACCTATACAAACCGACGGTTCAATTTTATTTGAACCATTATAAAAAAACCAATCAAATTTTATTAGGCCGGTTAAGGAAAACGGATTAGTTTTAACTTTTTATGTTGGGCTGGGCTACTTCGAGCCTCAACCTCTAGTCAGAGTAGTCACAAACATAAATGATGTTAAGGGCATTGTCCGATTGGAGCAATCTACGGAAACCTCGCCGGCGCCGGGAAACCATTCTCCAACACCTCTGTTTTTTCCACATCACCTGCAGCTCTGCAAGTGCGAGTCAGAACAATGGAAGCGAAGCCCTCATCTACTTCTCCCTCAACATTTGTCGATCAGTTAGTCGTAAGCATACCACTCCTGCTTCTCTTCGTCATCTCTGCTTTACTTCTTGTCCTTTCTTCAGTGTGTACCCTTCTTCATTTGTTCACGTGACTTAGGTTCCGGGAGATGTGATACTGGACCTCTCAAGCATGGCCAATCAAACGATCAAGCTCGGAGGTGGCCTTCGTCAGGTTCTTTTTTCAATTTAGGGTTTATTGTTTCACGTATTTCCTAACAACTTAACTTTTCAATTTACCTCCATTTCTAAAATGAGCTGTACTTTGATATTCTACGTCTAACCTAGTATCTTTTGGGTGCAAATTAGATATAAGTATTTGAAGGATTATTTACTTATTTGCAATCCACATTGTTAGGATGGTGATTCCATTTCTGTAATGAAGGCTGGTAATCTGAGATTCACAAAGCCAAACAAATATTGGGTGGAGAGCTCCCACAAGAGGGTAAGTTTGTTGTTTTACAGAAAAAAAGCACATATTTTTACTGAACCCAAATTAGTTTATCCTTGAAGATGCCTAATTTCTCTTGATATCCAATTTTCTGGAATTATTATATGTTGATCTTTGCATTCTTTACTGATATTTTGTAGTATGTACCTAATGCTGGGGATAATGTTCTTGGAGTGGTGGTGGATACTAAACCAGAAGTAAGTTGTACTGAAGTTTTAATTTACAACAATACTTTGGGGCTGTTCTTATTTTAATTTTTTTTATTATTATTTTTGTTCCACTCTTTCTATGGACGTGATCAAGTATCTGAATCTGAGTAAATGACAATTTTGCCCTTTTGTTTGGAAATTGACATCAAACTTAACCATCAGTTCATGTCAAGTTAATAACTCAAACAATCTTGATATATATATATATATAATATATATATATATATATATATATATATATATATTATAGTTTCTATATCTGTTATATCTCATTTGAATAATTACAGCACTTCTCTTTGTAAAAAAACTTAAATCGAAATTTATTTATATTCATTATTCTTTTTGGATGAGTGGAACTTTTTTTTGACTTACCACATTCACACATTCTTAACAAATTAAGTTAAAAAGAAACACCCCTATATATCTTTGCAGATTAAGTCATGTATCCATTAAGTCCATTAAATCAAAAAGAAATAGCCCCTTAGAAATTTTTTTTGCTCTTCATTCCAACATTTTTATTTTTTATTTTTCATGTGTTTGTTTCAGAATTTCCTTGTGGATATTAAAGGACCTGCATTGGCATTTCTACCTGTTCTTGCATTTGAAGGAGGAACTAGAAGGAACATACCCAAATTTGAGGTATGATATTCCTTTTTTCTTTTTCTTATTTATTATTTTCTCATGGACAATATAATTATATAACGCTAAATTTCACAACCTTTTTTTGTAGGTGGGCACTTTATTGTATGTTCGTGTGGTCAATGCAAATACAGGCATGAATCCTGAGTTGTCATGCATGGATGGTGAGTCATTTTTTTTTTTTTTTTTTGTGTCATCTATTTTTTAAAGCACAAAAATTATTAAAAAAATGACAATGTATTTCATGTGTATGTAGCTAATGGAAAAGCAGCAGAGTATGGTGTACTAAAAGAGGGGTATATGTTTGAATCATCCACAGGCCTCTCAAGAACGTGAGACATTGTTATTGCTTCTTGAATAATTTTGAGTAAATTACATTTTTGGTCCTTGAGAATAGCTGGTTCTTACAATTTTGGTCTCTGTAGGTTGCTGAGTTCTCCACCTTATCCAGTTCTTGAAGCTCTTGGGAAGAAGCTCTCATTTGAGATAGCTGTTGGCATAAATGGCCGTTTTTGGGTATGTGCGTCCTATTAAAGGGAATTCTTTACAGATTTTACTTTTTTTTTTAATCATATTTTGAATTTGTGAAATTGGTATACACAGGTGAATGCGTCACAATCATCTACAGTAATTCTGGTTGGAAATGCTATACAGAAATCAGAATCTCTCAGCTTGGTGCAACAGAAGATTTATTTAGAAAAATTGCTCAAGAACATTCAGTGATTTTTAGTAAAAACTGAAACTATTTTCTCCTGATGTCAACAATTAATTAACATGAAGATCGAATGCAGTTATATATGTTCTTTTCCTTAGCCCCATGTATTTTCAACAAATTAATCAACACAAATCGATATAAGAAACCATGATATGGATATAGAAGAAAAAAAAAGGACTTTATTCAACTGTAGATTGTGCTTATTATGTCAACAAGTTTGCCACCACATAAAATATTAAAAAAAAAAGGACAAATATATCGGATAATATCAATATGACTCCATTAAACTTGGTTCGACTTATATGTTGATTGATTAAGATCGAGTCCCAAGGATGTCAAAATGTCCACGAACAAAGTCATAATGTCCACCAATTAGTTTGATTTTTTTACTGGCTACTCCAGATTTAACCTGAGGGTAGGTTAGTAAATTCGCCAATGAATTCATCACCGACTCCTGCGTACATGTACAACAACAATAAAATCACATTATTATATATATATTAAAGTTGTGGAAGAAAGGAATAGTAAAGTTGGGATACTTTGTCCACGTTTGGTCCATTGATTTACATATCCGGTCCCTGTACTTCTTTAATTAATTTATTCATGTCCTTTTGTTTGTGTTTCATTCAACTTCCCATTTTTTTGGCAGAATTGGTCCCTGTTTATTTGTTGGAAGTTAGGAATATTAAATTGGGATTTTTTGGCAACTTTGGTCATTATTCTTTACCCATTTTCACACTTTTGGTCCTTGCAATCAATATTTTTACACTTTTTTGGAACCTTTTAATATTTAAAGTTTGGCCACAAAACTTTAACAGTTTGACAACTTTGATCCCTTTTCTAAAAAGTTGCTAATTCCTACCCCTTTAATTCTTTAGCCATTTTCACACTTCTGTCCTTGTAGTAAAAACTTTTACATTTTTTGTCCGGGGCAAAGCCCGGACTTTTCATCCTTGCACTTTCTATGTTTGTCATATTTATCAATTCGGAAACAACATTGAAAGCTTCTAGCCCCCGCATAGCGGGGGTAACCTTTCTAGTTATATATATATTAAAGCTCATGGTAACTTTCAACAGGAAAGTTTAGACTTTTACATTTCTGCCACCACCCTTTGGGTGCTTTACAGTTTAATCCCTTCATTTTCCAACATTGTTCTATTACAATACTTTTTTTGCACATACTTTTTCCGTTATTACACATTTGGCCCTTCCTTGGTCAATGGGTAATCAATCTTATTATACACTCTTGGATTTCGTCGTTACATATTTTTAGAAATATTCACTTTTGTGCCATTTTTTTTAGAAAACTTTAAATTATTTCCAACCATTTTTTTTAGGAACTTTAAATTATTTACAACCTATGCGAAGCATGAGCTCTTTCCTAGTTTATATAAAAGTGAACATGTGTTTTTACTTTTTAGTTAAAGATTATGGTAATTTTTATTTATTTACCTTCTCAACAAGTGCTCGAAGTTCAAGACCAGATGCTTTTGGATTCTTTCCAACCACCTTTGCCTTAGCAGGCTTACCAATGCTAACCCAATCATCTACCGAGTCACTTCATCACAAATGAAATAAATTAAGCTTTCATAATTAATTAATTATGTTGTGTTAAAATAAACAAAACAATTTTTTATTTTGAATATAAAGCATAATTATGTAATAATAAAATAAAAACAAACGTACGGTGATGAAGTTTTTCCATCAGGAAGACATACGAGTCTCTCAATTCCACCACATCGACAGTGCCCAAAGACTAAAATGGCCTCAACCTAAAAAAAGCGATTTTCCTTAATTAACCATTCACATTGATCCTCATTTTATATATACAAATACTTAAAAATAATTGTGTAGAAATATAAATAAATTGCCAAAACAACCTTGCAAACTAAGATTGCATATTTAATAACAGCACCAACTTCGCAGTACCTTTGCTGTAAAACAAAAACAAACATAACTATCACTAATAATCATAAAATTACAATTTCTTAAATTAATACTTTTTTTGCATCTAAAATATCTATAATGCTATGATACAATGAATAATATGTATAATGCGCACGTAATAAACTTTGGAATCAACTTCCGTTATAAAAGTGATATCAAAGAGTTTTTATTTTATTTTATTTTGAAGATGATTAATTTTCAATATCCCATTGAGTTCAAAACTTATATGTACATCTTTGACGAACTATTTGAAATAACTAACTTCTAAGTTATAAGCTATTTATTGGTCTCATGACACATTAAATTGTAATAAACTCAAAAAATAAATTAACTTATACGTGTCAAACACAATCTAAGTAAGGAACTGACCAACTAACTATATACAATTCAATCCCACACCATATTAATTGATTCATATGTGGTATTCAGTCCACAACATAATAACAAATTCTTTCAAAGACAAATCTAAAAAAGTAATATAAATCTAGAAAATAAATGGAAATGGAAATGGAAATATCAAATATATAGTTGAACTGTTGAAGAAAGATTGTGAAATTGAAGGGACTGATTTTGTCACCTGATTAAATGCAGGGACCATGTTGGCAATATTACGGGTTATGAAAGCTTCCCCGGGTCGCAGGTTCAGGATAGTTATTGGGCAAACTCGGGAGTCGGAACAAGCAAATATTAGAAACTGTACCAATTTTATAATTATTTAAAATTTTAAATTTAGAGTAATATACAGAAATCCTTGTATGAAATATTAATTATTATAAAATAATTAATATTTTTGATAATTAATGGTCATATTACCTTGGGTTCCGCTTTGTCGGCCAATTTACGATAGGAAGGCATATTTTTGCTGTAAATTTGTATATAACATATAAGTTATTATACAAACTAAATTATTATGAATCTAGTGCTATAACTTTTTTTTTAAATATAAATTATAAAGCCATTACAAAAAAAATATATAAAAAAATTTAAGGGACTGTTTGATATTCTTCTTATTGGGTCTGACTTGTTTAGATTCAAAAAGTCTGATACGACAATTAGTTGTGTTTGACTTATGATATCTCTCTTACTAGGTCTGACTCGATAATATATCGACTCAATTAAATCTGACTGAATCGACAACTATCAAACAACTTCAAAATTATAAAAAGTCCAATGTTAAGCCACATATTTATTTTTATAATTTTACGACTTGGATTCAATGAAATTAAATAGAATGTTACTTACCATAATTGACTTTTATATTAGTATTAAATGAGGCTCGAGTAGCTTACTTGAACTCATTGAGCTTGAAGTATTTAAACCCATCGTTGATTCTTTGTATGGGGTCAAATGGTGGTGATGGTGGTGGTGGTCCAGTTATTACTTGCAACGTTCTAATATTCTCCAGATTAATTTGATTTGTGTCATCTTCTACTTCTACTTCCTTTCCATTTTTACTAATCAAACAATTAAAAATATAATGTAAAATAAACTATAGTGATCGATGATTTGATGTGTAGTAATCGATCCATTTGTTGAAATAAATAAATTAATATATCACGTACCTTGGTATTTCTGTCGGTACATTTGCTTTTATATTCGAGTATTCTGACATATCTCGGACTATCCTTAAAGTTTCTGCAGCAACTTTTGTATATGATTTCAAATAAATTGAATTAATTAATTAGAATAACGACACATAATACCATAGTATTTCAACATTTTGTTTATTCACATGTCACATGTCCTATTATTATATGTTTACAATGTTTATATAGGAAAAAAGCGTGTATGAAAAATATATACTTAGAAAGTAAGATTTATTAACTTTTCCTTTTCAAAACTTATATTGTATTTAAAAGATGCTCGGAAAATCACATTGAAACCGAGTTACACAAACAGCTAGAGGGTTGCAAAAACAAACTTACCCAACTGAAATTTGCTAAATAGAATAGCGCCAATTTTTAATCCCTAAAAAAAAAGCTCCTAGATGTCATGTATATGTTTTGGCATCGATCTGGATGTCCTTTGAAGAGTCATTTCGTTTTTTGCCTTCTAAAGTCTTCGTTGGTATGATAGAACCTATAAGCTTAACTTTCTTTTTGTGTGACTAGTTAGTTGAAGAAGATGTACTAGCTTTATTGATAAATATAAAATGTCATGCGTTATGCACCGATATAGAATATAAACTAAATAAACTAATTAAAGAAATTACATATTTATACGTCTTGACAAATGCAATATATATATATATATATATATATATATATATATATATATATATATATATATATATATTTCAAACTATCATATAAGGGTATTTCATTACGGTCTTTAGTAGAATACATACCTAAAAGGGATTCCTTTAATTGATCATGGATCCATAATCCATTATTGGAGGCAAGATCAAAAGAAAACTTAAAATTTGAAGAGAACCCAAAAAAAAACTCTTTATTTTGCTCTCATTTTAGAAGATCATTGTGAAGATACAAAACAGTATGAATCAATTGATCAAAATAACCAGTAATTTGATATTTAAAATGATCAAAAATTTGATTTTCAAGAACACACACTTATTATTCCCATATATGACAAGATACATATACCCATATGTTAATATACATATACACATATGTTATATCTTTATATTCTTTTCTTTCAAGTAACATATACAATGCATATAATCTTTAGTTTGAACTTTGAATATGGAGAATGTCCATATGAAGGGCTGATCATATAGTTATCTTTTAATATTTTTTCTGCATTATTACACTATATATGTGACACGTAACATTCATTCGATTATAAAAAGAAAATTATGTAAAGGATTGGTTCTTATTTGCCACTGGCCTTGTGAAAAACAAACTGAACATTGCACCCCTACCCGAATAATCGGAGGACTAAATCTGCGAAGCAGTGAAAACTTGAAGGACCATATAATCAAACATGACATGACCCTGGTGGCAATTACTTGGGAGTGTACTGGGCTTGGTAGAAATTATGAATGTTTGGCGTCGGGATGAGCAAACCATCCTCCCCCTGATCCTTTCGCTGACATCAGTACCTCGGTAAGCTTTCATCCCTCTGATTCATTTATTCTAGCCTTTTCGGCCATTAAAGTTGCAGTGACTGAAGCTTTTTGTGTATCGGCTTATTATTTTTCCTTTGTTCAAGTTTCTAATTGTGCAGAGTGTGAAGATGGCAACTCCTCCAAACCCTACTGACGGGAACCCCCAAAATCCAGGTCTATTTCTCTACGTACAAGTCTATAGTATATATTTTATGTATATCCGAGTTTAATTTTATCGATATTCAAGCTTAATTATGTTGATATACTTAAAGGGAACTTTAATCATAGTGTTTTGGGTTGATTAGTAGAAATCGAATCAAGTATTGAGTTGATTTGATTATCAACTTTAAATTTGATGTTAAATACCTAGTTTCCGATTGGTTTCAAGTGAATTGACTTGACTTCCCCCTTGCACACTTGACTCAATGACCACAGTTCCGGAAGCTGTAAAGCCAGTGACCAATGATCAACAAGATGCCGACAAAGGAGCTACCAAGGAACCATCAATATTCGTAAACACAGAACCGATACGAGAAGAACAAGTGCAGAATGCTGTAAAGTTCCTTTCACACCCAAAGGTTAAAGGATCTCCTGTTATGTATAGAAGATCTTTTCTTGAGAGGAAAGGCCTTACAAAGGAGGAGATAGATGAATCATTTCGTCGTGTCCCTGTAAGAAAATTTTATCTACTTTTCTTTGATCATTCGTTTTCTTTTCCAGTTCCTTTCATTCCTTACATTGTAAAACTGTAAATGGCAGGATGAATCCCCTGGTATTTCAACTACTCAACCAGCTGTTGTGAATCAAGGTGTCCCATCACAGCCTACCTCAAGTATTCAACCACAAGCCCCAACTCAGTCTCTGCAACTGCAACCTGCAACTGCTCCCAGTTTGAGGAGTAGGTTTCATTGGTCACATGCTTTGCTTGCTGTTGGAGTTCTTGCTATATCAGGAGCTGGAACTGCTGTAGTTTTTAAGGTAAAAACAAACAGTAGACAATTGCTAACAGCTGACACGTATTTTTGTTATGCTATTAGCTGACCCGTATATGGTGTTAGAATGCTGTTGTTCCTAGATTGAAATCTTGGATACGTAAAGTTGTACATGAAGAAGATGAAAAAGAGGACCTTGACAATGAAACAAACAGAAAGCCGACATTGGCTGAAGAAGCAGCTGCTGCTGCAAAAGCTGCAGCTGCAGCAGCATCTGATGTGGCTCGTGCTAGCCAGGAGATGCTGGCCTCAAAAACTGAAGGTAGCCTGCATTTCTTTATCTTAGTTTTCTTCATTTTGACTTTAATGTTTCTTATAGGGTAATATGTGCCAAATCGCAATGTAGTTAATTACCTTCTTTGACCAATATATGCAACATACTTTATCTTTTACCCTCAATAGCAACCAACTTGCATCTTTCTACCAATATACACCGCTTTGTAACAAAAAACCTTTATAATGCTGATGTGGCATTGGTTTTTACCATGTCATCTGCCATGTGTACAAACACACAAACATGGAATTTTGATAAGAATTGTGTTGTTTGTATAATTGTATCTGATATAATCTTTGCTGTTTACAGAGAAGAAATACTTTGGGGAACTTTTGAGTCTTTTGGATGTGCAAGTCCAGGAAATGAAGTCAATGAGTAACTCAATAAAGAAGTTAGAAGGTAACCCATAAATTGTTTTTTTGGACATATATATTAAAAGTTTTCCATTTTCTAACAACTTATGAAACCTACATATCATACTATATATATTATATATATATATATATATATATATATATATATATATATATATATCTTAGTTGCAACTTTCTACTTTTCAGGACAAAATAACAACATTCCAGGGCGAGAGGTTCAAGTCACAAGCACAAGGGTGAGTTAGATATGAGACATATTTGGACTATGCCTCTATGCCTTATACATTTATAAACCCCATTTTAAAGTTATATTTCATTTGTTTAATTTTTATTTTTTGGAATATTGCAGCCACCATACACAAATGGCAGGACAGATTACGACTCCCGGTCAGTTAGATCCTTGTCACCACCACCTGCATCTGTAGTGGAACCCCCCTCTGCTACACCCTCCCACCCTAAATCTTATATGGAGGTGTAACTTTTTTGTCTTCTTGCTAGATGCTACATACATGAATGCTCAAGCATTACTTAAAAAAAAAAAAAAAAACTTTTTTTCTTTGATTTGCAGATAATGTCTATGATTCAAAGAGGCGAAAGGCCTCCCAACATCCGAGTAAGTAGAATCTTTTTTTAATTTTTTTTTTCCGGGTGTGTTTTGAAGTGTTTACTTTATGTTTATTTCGCTCAGGAAATCAATGATCAACCACCAAACCCTGATCAACCTGTATCAAATCCTCGCTTAACACCAAAACCTAAGGTTTTCATTGATCTGTAAAAAGCATAAATGATATATAAATATGATACATAGTTTACTATTTTTAATATAAAAAAAAATTATGTTTTGTATACATATTTTACCACTAACACTGCTTTTCATGTTTCTACCGACTAGCCTTGGGAGTCACAGTCACAGTCACAGGGTGGCAGCTCGATCTATGAAAATAGCAATAATGGGCTTAACGAGTACGGAGCGGGCCCACATCTGTCTATCAGGCTAATGGAGAAGGTGGTGGGGCGCCATGGTGGCAACAAAAGAATGTGAAGATTTCTGAAGTGGAAGGTGAAGAGAACAAGGTGACTACTGGGTACAGTGAGCGACCTGTTCAGCGGCCTGCGTGGGTCCCACCTCAGGCGCCACCTGTAGCCATGGCTGAGGCGGCAGCCGCCATCAGGCAACCGAAGAAATCACCCTTTGAAAAGGAACAAGGACAGCAGTTGACAGATGAACAGTTTCTGGCTAGGTCAACTGAGGTGACAGATGAGTTGCAGAGGATCACAAAAATATCTGAATCGGGCGGTGAGGTGGCGGCAGATGGTGGTGCAGGGGGGAGCAGCTCGGTGGGGATGAATACAAGTGAGATTCAGAGAGAGGAAGAAGGGTCGTATTATGAGGCCTGAACATGTTTCTTGGTTTGATACTTAGTGATATACTAAAGATAATTACATTACATATTATGATATTATTGATGAAAAAAAAATAACGTGCTCTTGGATACGAAATAGTCACATGTGAGTGTGCTTAATGCCTCATGATTCGAATTATTCCGATTTGAATTAACTGTCACAAATTACCCCTGGGATCCAACTAGTGACATTGAAAGTTGATATTCAATTTGATTTCTTTTCCCATTGACTATATATTAAGTGACATTGAAAATTATGTCGGAAAGTACAAGCTATTGATACCAAAGTAGATGAACAATAAATGATTTAACATGAGATTGAGATGGAGATACTATACATATGACATAAGTGTAACATATATGAACTCTATATATGAAATTATTATAAATTTAAATAAATATTTATGAGTTAGATATGCATATTACTTTTTTTTTAATCATTGTCGATTTCGTCGATAAACTAGCATGGATGATTAGTAAGAAAAACATATGATTGCAATAACATTTTTACAAAAAATATATATATTTTAATCCTGGTTAAGTAATGAATATATAACATTGTTAACATAGTAACAATATGATCATATAATTGATAAAAAAATTATTTAACCATATTTTAACAATAACAATATGATCATATAATTGATAAAAAAAAAATCAATTTACCATTTTTGCATCGATGGTTTCACCAAAGCAATATATTAAAACGAAACAAAAACTAGCAAGTAGCTAGCAATACAAATGTTACATGCTTTAAAGGGTGAAATGTCCGTACAATCCAACCTAGATTATGTAAGTTACCTCGATATTTCATCTAAAATAAAATCATAAAACGACAATTAAAATTTGAGACGACAATAAAAATACTAGAACGATAATTAAAATCTTAAACTAAAATTTTACATCTCTAAAGCTCTGCAACTTGCCGTTTAACCATTTTGTCGTGCTGATTAAGAAATAAGCGTTTAACCATTTGTCATGAAACTTTAAAATATCCTAAGGTGTCTCGTGTGGAAAATCTTTCATTTTATAGAATTAGCGATACTCACTTTGTGTAGACCTAAAAATAATTGATATCGATTTTTCACTCGTACGCGTATTCATCTTTTGGTTTTTGAGTTAATTTGATGCGTTACGATTTGAACCCACAGTCGCAGTTTACAGTGTTTCAGAACTTGCTCCCAAAAAGCATCCGCCCTTATTGATTTTCACCATCCTTATTGATACATAAGCTATGCACTAGGTTAAAAACCAACTAATCTAGACTAGCTGATATGCGATAGGCAGTGACTCTCGGAAATCTTGTCTTTCCCTTTTGCAGTACCCGAAGTTCTTGAAAAGTTGTTTATAGGAAAAAGGTAAGCACGAAACTTAATGAATTCCATCACAACAACATATAGCAGTAATATGTACTTTACACCTGCCACACACATATATCAAGATGCCATACACTTGTAATCTAAGCGTACAAATTAGATAAACAAAGAGTACAAGGCACTTGCTAGCTAAAGTCTAGCATAAAAGGCACATCACAACTCAGGTCATATATCGATCGATACTTACCAGCTCACCTTAGCACATTCAGACTAAGCACCCACCAACACATGTACAATCCACACAAAACATGTCAATAGCATACACGTACTAGACACTACACAACCTAGTACCATTCTTATACAATCAAATATATCACACGATCTCATGCAAAGACATACATATCAATGTAACGTAGTGAAAAACACACCTCGAACCAAATGTAGATCACAACAGGCAAACACAAAAGCTCTAATGAAATCAAGGAACCTCCTTTCCCCCTACAGAAGTGTTATAGATCATTAATAAGCAACCCTTAGCCATTAATTCAACTAGTTAGTCCTTAGGTTCATTTTCAGCTTTTAACACCAAAACTACAGACTGCTCAAGATCTGTTTTCCCTTAAACACAATTAAGTCCAAATTATTATCTCATATTCATAAAATTCAGCTCAATACCTTTCCAGAGATATATTACACAAAGTCTAATTATTTTTCTATAATTTATGGTGATTTATTGAAAATTACCTATCCAAGTTGTCAATTCCGGACCAGCCTACAAAGATGGCCAATTCCACCATACCTAGGAATGGAATCAGATTATGAAATTTGGTGGAAAGTAACTAGACTCAATTTGTGAGCTTTGGGCACTGGATTTAGGTTTAAATGATTTTCCTAGAATTATATATGATTTTTACACAAAAGGAACGGATTGGTAAGTTTTTGCATAGATTTACAACTTGGGTTTTTCCTTCTCTTAACCAATTAAGTACTTAACCAAATGAGACAAGGCCATCTCTCCCGTCATTTTCACATAACACGTGGACACATGCACATCTTTTCCTTACTTGGCAAAAACAACCCTTATTCCACTAATCTTCACAAAACAAGTTCCAATGTCACCAAACAACCCCTACACACCATAAAATAAACAAATCAAGTTTCCATAAATAAATTCCATGAATTTATTAATTAGTTACATCTAGGGTATTTTTTTATTTTTAAATAGTTAAATAAAAACATATAAAAAATTCGGAACGTTACACTAGGACCCTGCAAGGGAGGAAGGGGATCGTTATATATATATATATATATATATATATTATATATATATATTATATATATATATATATATATATATATATATATATATATATAATATATTATATATATATAGAGAGAGAGAGAGAGAGAGAGAGAGATATGTAAGTTCAATTGAAAAAATAAAAAATGTTGAGAATGGGGAATCATTATCAGCCACTCATTTATTTTTGCCGCAAAAGCCTCCGTCGTACCAACGGAAATTGGAAAGAAAATACACATGTGTTTTCCAACAAAACATGTATTCTTAAATTATGCTAATCATTACCTTAATATATATACAAAAACATAGTTTTTTTTTCGTTTTTTTAATTTTTAAGAAACTATTTTTATCGAAAAATGATTTTAAATATACCAAAAATCATGATTTTTTATTCTCTAGACATCCATATTGATATAGTTTTAAGATAAAATAAAATTTGTTTTTTTTATATTTTCAGCTATCGTTATTCATAAGTGAATAAAAATGCATTAATTTTTTGCTACAGTACATTTGTTAATCACTTATGAATAAAAATATATAATTAATTTTTTTTACAGTTTAAGTATCATTTATACTACTTATTCATATATGAATAACAAATTAACTGTAACAAAAATCTGATAAATGTTTTATTCATATATGAATATAAAATATGACGGCAACTAATACACGTTTTTCTTCATATAATAATAGAATATGACGAAAGATGATGTAAAAAATATATTTTAAGTAAGAAACTTTATTACGTGTCATATTCATATATGAACGATACTTAAACTATAAATAAAAATTAAGCATACGTTTTATTCATAAGTGAATAACGAATGTACTGTAATAAAAATCTGATAGATTTTTATTCACTTATGAATAACGAGAGCTGAAACTCTAAATTTTTTTTTATTTAATCTTAAAACTATATCAATATGGATGTCTATTTATAAAGAATAAAAAATTATGAATTTTGATATATTTAAAATAATTTTTCGATAAAAATGGTTTTCCAAAAATAAAAAAAAACAAAAAAAAATGTTTTTGTGTATATTAAGGTAATGATTAACATATTTTATGGAAACATGTTTGGTTAGAAAACACATGTTTATCCGTTATCCATTTCCGCCGGTACGCCTAAGTGTTTTGCGGCAAAATAAATGTGTGGCTGAGAATGATTCCCTCATTCTCAACTTTTTTTTTTCTCATTTGAAACCCTCTCCTCTCTTATAATATATATATATTAATATATATATATATAGATATATATATATATATATATATATATATATATATATATATATATATATGTCACACCCCAAAACCGAAACGACGGAAACGTTCGGGGCCGGAGGACATCATGTATAGTATCATAACAATGCAAAGTAGTAAACAAGCAACAACATCATCCATTGCATTAATAATATAATTTAATACAATTGTGTTCTTTGAAAGTAGTAAGACACCAAAATGAATAATCAAAATAAAAGACGAGTCTTGAACATGCTCCGTCTTCTCAAAAACCTGGTCGACTGTACCTGTCTACTGATGAATTGAGAATACAAGTTATTTTGAAAGCGTAGATCAGCATTAAAGCTGGTGAGTTCATAAGTATTTAGTGTCAATATTTGTATAAGTTTACTGAAAATGTTTGTAAATGTCCAATGTAGATGGTTGTATATGTTTGAAAACTCCTAGAAAATCCTATATTTTCTACTAGTATAAAAGGTAGTCTTCTACCAAGACCCGACTGTTTTTGTATGTTTGTTTCTCTGTAAAAGTGGACGCTTTTCCCAAATATGACTATCATTACCAAAATATAGTTTTATATTACCCTTTATGTGAGAAGATCACAATTGAATATAATGGGAAAATGTATGTGTACTGCAGTATTCTTGTATTAACTACTGAAGTAATAAACTACCTTAAACCAAAAAGGCTTATATAAGGTAAAATGTGATGAGGTTGTTACCATACTAAACCGACTATAACACGACGATAAATGACGTCGGAAGAAGAAAAAGAAATGACATTTGGCACCCGTAGACTTGCAAGTCCCACTGTAGCGAACAGCTAGGTGTAGGATAGTCAATCCAGTATAGATCTATACGCAAACTCACGCTCTCCCTCCAGGAGATTCTGGTTACAAACGTGACACACCGAAATGGTCGCTGTGTCATGAAGTAGTATCTCACATTATGTTATTTCTGAACCTTGTTATAGTATACTGGTTATAGTAATAGTATTCTATGTATAGTATTCTCTGTATATTATCCTTTGTATAGTATTCTCTGTTATAGTATTCTCTGTTGTAGTATTTGTATATGATAGTATTCTCCTAAACTATACCTATTATAGTTTACTAGTGATTTCTGTAATTGAATAATTGAC